AGTTCCCCTTCCTCGCTGCCCAAAACACGGCATTAGACAGGGGTGTTTCCTTCTGGAGGGTAAATACACACAACAACCTTAGAACCACCATTATAGTATTATACACACTGACAGCAGAGTATAGCCAGAAAAACAGTACAGTGACCCAGTCTCTTTACCCAATAAAACGACATACATCTTTTACAAAATCTCGAACACTCAGTAGAGTATTTTCTCTCGTTTTGTTTTCACAACGCAACATAAAAACAAGCCCACAAATATTCCGTCTTCGGACTGTCAAACTCCCTTTGGTCAAATCTACTACTCTAGCTATGTGATTTAGAGAAACGTCATTCTAGTAGTCGATGTAGCTTTTGCAAGCGATCTCGTTCCGCCTGGAGAATAAGATTAATTCTGTTAAGTGATAACTTCCGGCTAAGTACATGGTCTGAAACGCCCTCGTCGTATTAAGGACCTCAGAGCGACTATTAGACCGTTGGAGATTCCTTGAGGTCGAGGTCAAGTTTTAGAGCGTGCAAGTACTTGTTTGACAAACTACTCGACCGGCAAAAAGTAGCATCGAGGGTATCGAGGAAGACCATCAAATCATGCGAGGACGCTACTATTTCAAGAACGTTGTGAGTTAGTCTACGGCGACATCCGCGGTGGTAGTCGCGCACAAGGTTTACTTCTATATACTTTGTTATGAAAAAGTTGTAACACACAATAAACCTCCACTGAAACGATTGTGATGAATTGTATACCTACTTGTGGAAATTGAGACGGCTAAAAGGTCGATTTGGGAGTGGGAAATAATACACGCTTTCTTTTCGTATATGTTCACACATGTGTGTGTGTAGTGGTCGTGTGTGTGTGGGTGTTTGTTGGTGTGGTTGTGGTGTGTGTGGTGTGTGGTGTGTGTGTGTGTGTGTGTGTGTGTGTGTGCTGTACGTTGTCTCCATCGAACTCGAGAGCAGAGGGATGTGTCCACGCAATACACAATTGTCGCACGCGACTTCGTCGGTCTGTACGCGCAGGCAATCCCGGATGTGACAGAGACGTCAGACGCCAGTGTGCGGGCGACAACTCGTCGTCGACTTCGCTCGGTTCAAGGGAGGAGCGACGGGTTTTGTGCCGTACATCTGTTCCCCACAAGGCAAGACCTCCCATATGTGCGTTGTGGTGATGGAATCCTTGGTGGGTAGATATCATAATATGTGTGATGTCGCTCATACGGTCTTTTTGTCATGTCACTGAGACGTTCTCATTACAATTCACAGTGTTATGGTGTGTGTGTGGCAGTGTGTGTGGTAAGGACAGAGAAGTCTGTATCTGTACTACTTTTCTTAGATTAATTTTTTTTTTACATTATACCATTCTCTTGTCTTGTACGTATTACATAAAAGCCCTCTCCTCCTGATCGCCCCCCGCTCGACACCTTCGTAATGACGTAAGACAAGGAGAAGGTTTCATATGAATAATTTAGGAAAAAGAGTGCCACAGATATAGACTTCCGTCCCTTACCCTCGTACACCACACTGCCACCACACACATCAAACTGTGTATGTGGGAAATNTAAGTAATTTGGAAGAGGAACAGAACATGCATAATGTGTGGAATTTCAGTCGGACCACAGCCATATGATACCTCTCACACACACACACACACACACACACACACACACACACACACACACACACACACCTGCAATCTGTACACAGCCTTTTGCCTATTGACTTACACCGTTTCCCGCTCGGTGCTTTACAGTCAAAAGGCTACACCACTTCATTAAATTATGAACTAACTACACTTTGCGAGGAAGCAAGTGTGATCTGGATTCCTATTGAGGCCTTGTGGGATGCATGCAGTCAGAGGATGATGGATGGAAAAGGCTTGTTTACCTTAAAAGACATCCTGCAGACCTCATTCGTGACTCATGTTGTTTCCAGCACACTCCTTCATTAGAAACGATGCTGAGCTGAGCGCCTCTCGCCTGTTTTGCCGCACTGTTTTTGGGTGTTGGCGGTGCCCGTTCGCGGACATAATAACAGCAGACCGTCAGCTGAGCTCATCCCCTGCAGTCGGTGCTGAGAGGAGGCCGTTGCGGGCCGCTGGGGGGCGCTGCTGAGCACACATACATGCTCATGTGTCAGTGTAAAACCAGGTAGAGAAGTAGAGTTAAATTCATGTACAAAACGATGCAGGACTAGTATCATTTTAATCTAGATTATTTGTAGATTTGTAATTGCGTTATGTTGTTGTTGTTTTTTTTTTTAACCTTATTCTGAACTCAAATAAATTTAAGCTATCGCCCCTTTCATTCAATCATGCAGCCCAAAGTGCTCCACATGGCTAGTAAAATAAATAAATAAATATATAAAACATCAATTAGACCGAAAAAGCACAACAATTTGAAAATAATTAAAAAACCTATTGCAAGACGAAAATAGAAATATAATGTTGTCACAAGAATAAACAAATACAAGGGATTAAAATATGTATGACATAAGTAAAAAATTAAGGCAACAAATGACAATCCACTTGTCCATTCCACTACATTTATCTGAAAACTGTGGTCAAGTGAAGTTAATTTTCAGATTGCAATTTAATAATAAATATATTATAAACTTAAATCAAGGCATTTATAAAGATTAAACCATTGGTCCTTAACATTTTTCATTTGAAATCTTCTCTTTTACTTTATAAAGTATTTCGTTCTTATTGTTTTCTTTTTTTTGTATTAATACATTTTACTCAGATGTTTAATATCACTATTATTATCTCTTTATTTTATTTTCATCTTTATTTATTTATTTCCAATACGTTTTTGTCATTTCTCAATTCCAAATGTTTTTGATTATACTGAAGTGCTTCGGGTTTTGAATGCAGAATTGATACTTGTAATAAGTTATTAACATAAAAACAGTGCTGGTTTTATTTAAGTAAATGATCTGAGCACTTCCTCCACAACTGATTTTGGAAAGTTAGATGTCAGGTGTTATGCTCAATCATAAACCGGTAATTGAAGGATTTACATTATTGCAGCCTTAGCTCTCTCTAAATGATAATAGGGGTATTACCAAGGAAGAGCTGGGAAAGCATCTTTTTTTTGTTGACTTACGTTCTTCTCAGGTGCTGGCATAAGTGTTGATTACGGGACTCATTAAAGTATAGTGGAGACAATGTCCTTATAGCAGAGATATATAAGGAACGTTGACAGTGAGCGTGTTGTTGTGTAGCTGCAGAGTCCCTCTCAGACCATGAGAACAAAACAGACTCACATCCATGAAGGTGAGCTGGCAAGGGCTTTTTATCTCATATGTGTTAAAACATGTTTTTGTTGTGTAGAGAATAACCTCTGCTAAATGCAACTAATGCAAGAGTTTAAGCTTTAAAGAGTGCTTTGTACATGCAGCAAGTGGACTTTGTCCTGTGGTGGTTTACCATTATTTATAAAGTATATGATTTTATAAGATATATTGTATGTTTTTACATTAAATTGCATTTTATTCAGAGTTCAGTAATAAGAAATATTATTTTGTTATGTATAAAACGTGGAGTCATGTAACTCATGTTGCCAATCAGGTTTTTACAGAGTTTCACGAGAGAACAATATATCGTTTTTTTCACTTTTAGAATAAATAGCCTCTATTATTGAGTAGACAGACTGTAGAGTAAAACAATAAGAAAACAACTAATACATTTTTTATAAAATAAGTGCTACACAGTGCAATGATTTGCTTTTCTAAAATTGTACATTTTGGACTTGGAAGATAAAAACCACTGGGAATATATTAGTGATGCAGTTTTGATTAAAAAAATGTTAACCTACATACTGTGTAGAATGACTTTACAAAACACTAGATAACTATTAGGATTGCCCAGTTGTAATGAGTTTGCTCGCTGATATGCTCAGTTCAGTAAGTACAACAACTATTATCTTTCTGATTTATAGTCTTGATTAAAAGCAAATATGAAACACTGCAATAACACATCCGTATACTCACCAGAAAAAAAGAAAATGCTACAGAAGGTTTTCAATGCTTACACTGTTAATGTTACTGTATGTGACAATGCAAGTCACACACACGTTGATAATGTTGAGGTACAATGAAAAGCTGTGACTCTATGATGCTGTCGTTTCTGTAGTCCAGCAGACCGGCCTCCTGCTGGGAGCCGCTCTGCTCTCGGTGCTGCTGTGTTGCCCGCAGCTCGTGGCCTCAGACTCAGACGAGCTGCTCCTGACCGAGTGGGAGATCTGGAAGAGCAGCAATGGCATATCCTATGAAGATATGGTGATAATGACGCTGGGTTGAATACAAAAACCAACAGTAAAGTGCATACAAGCTCTGATTCACTTAAGTGTTTCTATAATATGCTTTTTTTTGTCTTGCAGGACGATATGCAAAGGCAGATCATCTGGGAGGAGAACAAACAGATGATTGAAAATAATAATCAAGGGTTTTTCAGGGGGATGAGGCCGTTCACTATGGCCATGAATAAATACGGAGACCTGGTAAGAAGTACTGTTTTCCTCTCATTGATAAAAGCTCCACTGCCTGACCTCAAATGTATTTAACGTTGAACTTAAAGAAAGCTTTTGTGGTGTACGCAAAATGATAATAGATTATTTTTGAAAATCCCAACATGGACAAATGATTGATGAATGCAAATAATAACTTCTAATCTGAATCTATGATTGAGTGTATGTGTTTTTATATCTTTAATCTATGTCCATAGGATTAGATTATGATGCAATTCAACAAACAACCCATTATTTACTTTCTTGCCAAACAACTCAACATATTTTAAGTTATGTCACTTAACAAACATCTTTATTTTCAACCCAAATTACAATCCTTTTCTTAACGCTAAGGAGTTTAGTTGCCTGAATTGAAACAACTGTTTTTATTTTCAATCTTAACCACAGCTGCGATGTTAACTTTCCCTTTCCCTTAAGCATAATGAGCGTAGGTGCTGTTTGCCCTATTATTTGCACCAGTCAAATGTATAGAATGGTAGATAACAATTTATAACGGCCATTTAATTGGCTGATAACAGAGAAATGGTATCTATCTTCATATCTAACTCTTGGCAAGAAATTGAATAAGTGTCATGGAAAATGATTTGGCTTGAACAAATAAGATAAGTTGTTAACTACATTTTATACAATGACTTGAATGATTTGGAAACTTCTTTTTTGTGATCTCCGTACATAGACTAGACAAGAGTTCCGGGTTTTGCAAGGTGCCGTGATAGACTCCCAATTTGTGAAGAGAGGGAAGACCGTCTCGAGCCGCAGCCTTCGCAACGCTGCTAAGAAGTTAGATGCTCTGGTTGTCGACTACAGAAAGATGGGCTATGTCACTGAGGTGAAAGACCAGGTAAGACATTTCTCATTCATTTTCAATGTTTTTCATGTAGACAGAATCATGAACAACTTGAAATATGTATGTTTTAATTGATATTCACAGGGTTACTGTGGCTCGTGCTGGGCCTTCAGCACCACGGGAGCTATTGAGGGACAAATATACAAGAGGACAGGTCAGCTTGTGTCTCTGAGTGAACAGAACCTGGTGGACTGCTCCAGATCTTATGGTACCTATGGCTGCAGTGGTGCCTGGATGGCCAACGCCTATGACTACGTGATCAAAAACGGCCTTCTGCCGACAAACTCCTACCCATACACCTCAGTGGTGAGGATCAACCCGCTGGCTCTGCCTCCATCAGAGCACTTCAATTAAGTTATTATAACTGTGTTCAACCTAAGGATAACTTTAAGCATTCTTCTCTCAACAGGACACCCAGCCCTGTTACTACGATAGCAGACTTGCAGTGGCACATATCAAAGACTACAGGTTCATACCGAAAGGAGACGAGCAGGCTCTAGCTGATGCCGTGGCAACTATCGGCCCAATCACAGTCGCCATTGACGCGGATCATTCAAGCTTCTTGTTCTACAGCTCAGGTTAATTTAAAAAATCTCCATCTGGACAATTTATATGTTGGGGATTTACAATAAATACATTTCAGGCAGCTGTAATCATGTTCTTATAACTTAAAATTCAATCAAATCATTATGTCTATGTTAAAGAAGTTGCATATAATGACAAACCCAGACAATATTGGTTTTGGTCAACAACTTGACTGTTTTTGGTACTGATAAAGCTACGTACATACACTACCTTACCAGCACCAAACAGCGGACACACAAGGCGAATATTTACTGGTGAATCTGGCATTTAGCAGCTGAAAAACAAGATCATTAGGAATTGGAAATGACTAAAACTAAGCTAAAAGGAGATTGAAAATTGGAAGTACATTTATCACACAAACATTAGTCGTGGGCATAGACTTTGGGGGGGTTCCTCTCAATATGACAGGAGCAAAGGATATTTCGATAAACTGCTGGAGCGCAACTCAGACGCAACAAATCCACTGGTGCAGTTGGTTGTGGCAGTATGCAACCTCATAAGCAGTGGTTGCAGTCTTCCATAAAACACAAACTATGCACAGTTTGACAGAAACTAATATGAATTGATGCAGACTCATAAGTGCTTGACACTCTTGTGTTTCTTGGGGGAAAACCCTTAACCGAGTATGTCCCTCCAACACCTTAGCTCATAACTTGACTCCAAATGAATTCTTATCTTGCTGAGTATCTGATCAGATGGCGTAAGTAAGCAACTTTATGCAATAATATGTCACTAAGCGTATTTCCATTGCTCACAAGTGGCCAAACAATAAATGAATGCAGGTTGAATTTTACTTTGCAGGAATATATGATGAGCCCGCCTGTAACCCTAACAACCTGAGTCACGCGGTGCTGCTGGTGGGCTACGGCTCTGAAGGAGACCAGGACTACTGGATCATCAAAAACAGGTCAGAACTACATACAGAATGACTGGTTTGACATTGTATAGAATTACATTTCTTATTCATACCACATGTAAAAGTGTTTCTTTTTTATCAATCACTGTTTTTTCTTTTTAGTTGGGGTAGCAGTTGGGGTGAAGGCGGCTACATGCGGCTGGTCAGAGACGGCAGAAACACTTGTGGCATCGCGAGCTACTCCTTGTACCCTATTCTATGAGTCTGATGACATGATTTTTTGCAATGTGGAACTTTTCCACTGGACTTTCACATTTTTATGTTTTCTATCTGCAACTCATTATGAACCTTTCCGACACTTTGCTTTTCTCAGGGACGTGGTACACACACCAATTTGTATGTGGATTTGTAAGTTATGACACACACACATTAGTCAACCGTTTAATATGATGGTGGCTTATTTTAGCAAATGTTACACATTACAGAGTCAGATCACCGATTCATGATTCTTCTCAATTTGAGCTCAAGGTAGCTATATGCTAATTTATACTCATAAGAGGGTTCCTCATTTAGTTTTCATAGAGTCCTATGTTCTTGATAAAAGAAGGTGGGAGATTCAACCTATTGACCCTGGGAAATATACATTGCTGAGCCTTTGGATATTTCCTCATTGTGTCATATTATGAAGGGATTAAACTGGAGAACATAAATATGATCCCCACATAGCCACAATCCAATTTTACAAAAGTTTCATAATTGGGCTTTAAATATCATCAATTATTTTTTAGGAGACACAATGTACTTTGTCTCAGGTACATTTAATACAAAATAAAGTAACATTTTGAATTCTGCAACATCTCTCACTCTTTGATATATTAGTTTACAGTAACACCTATAATAAGGGGTGACTCAATTTTAAATTGTGCTTCAAATTGAATGTGTCTGAAATTTAAATGGGGCTTTGTATTTTTTGTGTAAATGTGTTTTCTACCATTTTAAACAACTTCTGATCGGTTTTCTACTGGGTCAACTAAGTATCCTAACTTCTGGACTGACTAATAATAAAATTTGGAATAATTTTCTCTGACGAGTTGCCTATTTGTCTATTGATCTGCATGTTGCATTGTTCAACCAATTATTGTTCAAATACATGCTTCATCATTCTTTACAAGTTCAACCGCACCCCTCTGAACCTTGAGCCTGATTTACTGCCGCGCTTTTCTTCAGAAGTCTAACATAAAACGCTCCAAGGTTCACCTGCTGCAGGGTTTACCTGGGAGGAGGAGCTCTACGAGGGAGAGGGAGGCTTTTTCACTGCTACACTGACATGGCTTACTAAATACTTTATAATGCAGTGGAAAATATCTTTGCTTTTTAGTGCAGTGTGGTTATTCTTGCTCTGCTTTGCTCCGGTTTGTAATTCTACTGAGAAACCCTCAAAGCGTAGACATGACAGTCAGATCAATCAGAAGACACACAGCACCAACAAGTTCTGTGATCCTGCCTTCAGCAAGCACACAGCAGGCGCCATCACTCAGGTAATGCAGCGCTTTGTTGGATTTTTTAAAAATATTTCCACCTGAAATTGTTCCTACCCTTTCAAAAAGTGAATCATATTGTGGTGTGACATTATATACAGCCACTATCACTTTATTCATTCATTTCATAATGTCTCAAGAATAATTGTTATGGCATCCTAAGCTTAACCCTAGACATAACTTAGACAAACACACACTTTCTTAATCCTGTGTTTCTTCATGTCACGTCCTGACATACTAAGATCATTAGAGACAATGTCTTTTCTGAGTTAATGCATCTGATACAATATGTAATCAATAACATACAATTCACATATTCTTAGCTAATCACTTTGCAGCACGATTATAATAGGTGAGTGGGGTTGTGAGTGTTAGCGTGTGTCGATGATCCTACAGTCTATTGTCTCTGTCTCGGTGCAGAAGTGCAGCTCTGGCTTCTACAGAGAGAGGGCGGCACTATACAGGGGTCAGTGTGTGCCATGCCGCTGCAATGGACTCTCCAAGGAGTGCGATGAGCAAACAGGGAACTGTGTGGTTGGTGCTCTCTCATACACACAGACACAAGTGTTTATTTACAGCACAAGCAGCTTAAATGTTGTGGGCCAAGACAAAGGCAAAACATGTTGTTCATTTTATGTTTGATTTAACCTCCAGAACTGCCAGTTTGACACCACTGGGGACCACTGTGAGCGCTGTAAAGAGGGTTTCTATGGAGACGCAGCCAACAGGACCTGCCGTGCCTGTCCATGCCCCTTCATATGGAACAAGTAAGATCATTTCTCATTACGTAGCTCAACCAGGCTCATCTGATTTTGCTCTGAATCAGTATTAGGATGTAAATGTGTCTTTTTGCAGTTTTGGGCAGGCCTGCCTGGACATTGGCTCAGGAGAGATGGATTGCGTGTGCAGACATGGTTACAGTGGAGACAGATGTGAGAGGTGTGTCTGCTGGTGGAAAAACGGACACTCACCCAACACAAGCTAATAAACACCTCAAGATTACCAACAATGCAGCAATATGTTGCATCCTATTCCATATTTTCCAATGCTCAATGCAAGGCACAGGACTGAAACAACAATGATTTGTTTGTCCTGTTTAAGATGTGCGTTTGGATACTTTGGCAACCCAATGGTGCATGGAAGCAGCTGTAAGCCCTGCAATTGCAAGGGCAGCTTGAACATCTGTGATTCTCTGACTGGAGGTAAATATTAATGTTCACACAATTAGAGACAACGTTTTGAGAGAAACAGCTCCCCAACCGAGAGACATTAGTAGTGATTTATTTTAGTTTCTATGCTTCAAAAGGTAAGGTGAGTTTATGTTTGACTTCCAAAACGTTGGAGGACAAAATCAAAGTTGCAGAGGCCGAGATATTCTGCCTTTTGGTCCCTAGTAGGGGACAAACTCCCAAAAATATACCTAGATGTTTCTATAATGTTACCAATCTTTTTGGTTGTGTATTTTATGTTGAAAAAATGCACTTCTGAGCTCCAAAAATAAAATGTTCACAGGATGAGTAGCTCATAAATAGTAAACTGCAGCAGTGATTAAATCCACTTTTCCTTGAGTAGAGTGCATCGCATCTGATAACAGCAGCAGCGGCGCTCACTGCCATGGTGAGTTTGCGTTGACGTCTGGCTTACAATCATGTTTTTGACACAGAAGAATTACATAGAAATGTGGTAAAGTGTTTCTGTGCTTGTGTCTGGTGACAGAATGTGACAGCTGTAATGTCTCCTTAATGTTGGACTTGGAGACGATGGATGATGTCCTGGCTCTGATGAAGCAGCAGCTGCAGAACGTCACCGATGGCCCCGCTTCAATTTCCTGGCCGAACGACCTGCAGGACAACATCTCTGAAACAGAGATACAGTGGATGCAGGTTTCAGCTGTGTGTAACAGTCCTTTAAAACTTCTTCTATTAAGTGCTTGCCGAAGAGTTTGCAAAAACTTCCAAGTACTTTTAACTCCCCTTTGTGTCAGAATCTGGTTTGGAGGTACAGCACTGCTGTGAGACACCTGGTTGAACAGCTGGAAGCAGATGTGGATAGTGTCAGAGACAAATTGAGTCAACGTACTGACATGATACCTGGAGTGAATTTTCCTCAGTTAATCAAAATGAAACTGAATTTTTCGGTTGTTGCATTTTTTTAATTTAAATTGTAAATGTAGGCAGGAGGTAGTGTTATGCATCAAGGGCACACTCCCAATGCCACCTAATGTCCTGCTGAGTTTGATGAATAAGTTATCTTCTTTTTGATGCAGTGATAACAAGTAATGTACAAAACCTAATCTGAAAGAATACGAGAAGCCTTGACACAACGTTTTACTCATGATAAACCTTTCAGAAACTAAAAGCCGTATCAGATCTGGAGAAGGTTGTGCAGAATGTGAATGAAACAAAGTCGAAGGCAGAGGATCTTCTCGCAGCAATACAAGGTAGGCCTACATCAGTTTATCATTTTACATTTTCGGGACATTACAGCCCTGTGTAGATGTTGGGCAAGAACAAAGACTTATCAATGATGTTGTGTGACGGAATAATGATGCCAAAGTGACCAACAGATGTATATTTTTAAAGCAGTGTTTCTGTTATTGCCATGCATCTGTCAGATTCATTAAAGCAGCAAACTGATGTGAAACCCAGAGAGGCTGCTACTCTCTCTGAAAACAGCAAAGCCAGGATGATGGAAGAGGCTCAGCGCATCATGCAGGAAATGAGAGACAAAGGCTGCACTGCTCAGAGAGACAGAGATGGCAGAGACCAGGAGGACGTGCACAAATGTGAGATACAACAAAATGGATTCATTGATTACTTCTTGGCATAGAGCTTATGTTCAGACAGCTCAGTTTATGGCTAAAAGGATGCAGAAAGGTTCTGTTACGTCAGTTGGATACAACCCACTTTTACTTTTTTATATAAATGTATAGCTACAGTCGGTTAGCTTAGCTTAGCAAAAGTCCCATTGGCTGAGATAATACAATAGCAAGGATAACAATGGAAATGGAGGAACAAATTGATAACACAGTTTGGTCCATTTCCAATATATATATAATATAGAACCCAGAAAATGTATATCAATGTAACAGAGTAGATTGCCTTAACTTGTACAATAATAAGTGTGTTTTTTCCTCAGTGTCAGCCACAGACCAGGCTGTATTGAATCTGAATGTAGAGTCTCTGATGGTCTCAGACTCTGCTTTGAGGGAGATGGCTGGGCTGCTGTCAGATGCTGAGGACAGAGTGCACACGACACAGGCCCTCAACAGGAGGGGTCGTAATGCCGTAAAACATCTGGAGGTGATGTGGTACATAGCTAGCACTGGTAGCCTTATACATTCCTCACTGTGTGTTGTCCCTGATGTTTTTATGTTTGTTTATCATTTGTCAGCATCTTCAATCTCAGCTGGGGAGAGAACAAAAGAGGCTCCGTCCTGTGACACAAATAACTAAAGATCTGCTAAAGAATATAAGCAACATATTTGTAATGCTTGAGGAAACCAAGAAAGTAAGCAGCAACTACCAGCATAATAACCAGACACATTTTTTAGTGTGCAATTTGATTTCATTGTATGAAAATTGCAGAAATTTGAAAACCATGCAGCTGAAGTAGATGGCGCCAAGTGGAAACTCTTTCAAAAGTTAAATAGCATTTTCCGAATGAAGGCCACGATGGGCAGTGTTACTAAGGCTGAGGAGCACACAGAGGAGCTCAGCAGAGT